CCACGGCATGTCCATTCTAGAAGCGGAAACCTCCATCCTGGGCACGCGCCATGTAACCGACAACACCAGGTGGTTGGAATGGAGAGTCCAGCAGTGGTTCCTTGCCGGCGCTAAACTAGGAGATTGGCGAGGTACCTTTCTGGCAGCCCTCAACCGGGTCTACGCCCTGGTCCATATTCCTGGCACTGCAGCGTGAGTCCTACCTCCAGTGGCAGAGTCGCCAGACGGGATATCGGGGACTCGGGATATATTCAGCTAACACACCACGCAGGTTCGTCGCCTATTACTATGCCACCGCTCCGACCCACCGCCGGTTTTGTATCGCGAGGCGCACCATATCGCTCTCCAACTTCGTCGCCTTCATTGTCTTTATCCTGTACCCTTGCATGCCGCCGAGACTCCTCCCCCCTGAGTATGGCTTCGTCGACACCGTCGAGGCTGAAGATGCTACTAGTGTTTGGATGAAAGGAGACTACGTCAATGCGCTTGCCGCCATGCCGAGTATGCACTTCGGGTACGCGTTTGCTATCGGCTGCGTCTTCGTCTACGAAAGTGGCTTCCTCCGCCATCTCCACCTGCCTAGCGACCACGAGGAGGACGATCTCGAAGCGAAGGAGATTATGGTAAGGGAAGGCGACGATGTTCCTCGCTCCGTGGCCGCCCGCGTTGCTCTACTATGCTTCGGCCTCGTCTATCCCGCCACAATTCTCTTGGCAATCATTGCCTCGGCCAACCACTACTTCCTGGATGCGGTAGCGGCTGTGTTCGTGGTGTTCTTCTCATTCTGCTGTAATAAATTCCTGCTGAATTTCTTGGTACTGGAGGATTGGCTGCTCTGGGCTTGGAGATTAGAGAAGCCTGAGCCTACAACTGGTTTCCGGAAGACCAGTGGGCAGGTACCGTCGAGTCGACGATAACTCTCGGCACAGGTCGATCTGAGGCTAAGGCAAGAGGAAGTAATACAACTGGTAATGAGATCAAGACTTTGTCGGCGCCCGATGGTATTCGGCACGAATTCAGATGCCCTTGCTTCACGATTTGGATATAACAATATCATTAAAAACAGGCCCCTGAAGGGGGGCCTTTAATCTACAGACCTATAGACCCCCAAGGTTTAAGGGACGAACAAGAAATAGATCAGGTGTTCGAAAGGGTTGTGCAAATTTCACCCCTTTTTGGATGTCTAAACAAAAATATACGAATAACGCTAATAATATGTCTTAAAATCGAAACATACCACAAATGCCACCTAGTGTTGAAACCTGTGAAGATCCGGGGGCTATGAGCGATGTCTTTCAAGCAAGTGGCCCCAGGGGGACTTTTCTAAAAGGAAAAAAACGTAATCAGAAACCGGTTACCGTCATCCATATACCGTCATTCATACTCGCAAACAAACTACTTCACTAACCGCGTCCCTGAGATGCATACCATCAGCGGGCCTGATCCAACAACAGCAAGGTATGGAACGAAACCGAACCCAAGCCCGAGGAGCACAATCCACATTTAAAACTCAGTTCATCAGAAACGCAATTGATAACCGGCCCTGAGGGGCTCTATGCACCGAAGCCGGCGCGGGCGTGTTAAGCAGATTCATTCGCGGCTCGTAGGAGCGCCCTTCGTGAATAGGGCTTGCCTTTTTTTCTATTTCTTCGCCCACACCGTGGACACCTTCTTTTTCGTCGTTGTCGTCGCGCTTCTTCTCCCATGCATCATCCACTGGCTGTATTGGAGGAGGAGAAGGGGGACTAAAAATGGTAGGTGAAGCTGGACAAAAAAAAGGAGAGCCAGAAGGAGACGGGAAATCGCGGCTGTGGCCTCGGGCGTAGTTTGAGTATTTGGGTTTTTTTGATTTCGGTACTAAGGGTTGTAAGTCGTTGAGCGACGCCAGGCGCAGCGGTGGCATTTTGTCCTCGTCGTTGTCGTGGCTGTAACGCCTCTTAGCCCCCAAGCCCGCGTGGCCGGGAGAAGATAGCGTATATGATGCTTGCCGAAGGACCGGCCGTGGCAAAATGGAAGTATAGCCCTGCACCGGCGTAGGCAAGCGGGCTGCTCGCGGCATGGGAGTCTCGGGGATCGAAGGGGTGGGTTGAGGGGTGGATAGATTGCCACGGAGAGATGGGACGTAGTCTCTTTGGATGGGGACACTCCTGCTATAGAACACGGGGGGCCCTGGTATGTCCTGTGAGAGCTCGGTCTCGTGACCGCGGGACTGGAAGATGGAGTCCCGGCAGAGATCTAGTGTGATAGCGTGATGCTCTAACTCAAAGCTGGCTACGGATGCTAGTACTGCTAATGACGACGATAACGAGGAATATGACGATGATGAAAATGATCGCGGGTGGCATGGATTGTTGGAGCCGCGTCCGGAGAGCGGTGGTGTGTAGGGTTCGTAGTTAGTGTGATGATGCCGGGACCGGTGTTCGCTACTGGTTCTGGTGCCCGGGCATGGCCCTCGAAACATATCATTCAGGTTTATCTCCTGTGGAGAGCCCGATCGTCGAGCACCTCCTCGGCCTCCTTCCTGGCCTTCTGCCATGATTTCTGTCGTGATATCTGAGCCTCTAAAGGGGATGGCGCGCCAGAATAGGAGGAAAGTAGGCTATCGGTAGAGACGGTAGCAAGTTCGTGCTTTGGTGTCCAAGAGAGAGAGAGAGAAACACACAGAGAGTGTGTGTGTGTGTGTGAGAGAGAGAGAGGGAGAGAGAGAGAGAGAAATAGAGAGAGAGAAATAGAGAGAGAGAGAGGGGGGGAGGGAGAGAGAGTGAGAGAGAGAAAGAGAGAGAAACATGTTAGAAGGCAAAATTTTCTCCTTAAACTTCAAACCGGACCAGTTATTTTCGCCCTATATCTCCAACTGTCGAGGTATTCATCGCTCAGTTACCTGTTTCTCACCAAACTCTATAGAATATCGTTCCATGTAGCGCCACGAAGGCTAAAACACCAGACACAGAGATCCAAGAGAGCAAGTTAAATGGATAACTCGGTGTAATAGAATAGAAAATAGGCAGATCGATAGAGATAGGTAAAGTAAGTAACCGAGTACCTAGTAACTAAAAGCCCAACCATCGACCAGGAAAAAACGCCCCTAACCTTAGGCTAGGTAGTAGTAGGTTGAGCAAGAAGGTGACCTAGCCCCTGCTCGCGCAGCACCTCCTGCACCGTCCGCAGGACCGCGGCGTGGAGGGCCCTCGGGGCGGCGACGAAGCCGTGGTTGGCCGTCATGGTGCGGCCGGCGGCGAGGTCGATGTCGCGCCCGTCGACGTCGGTGATCTTGCCGCCGGCCTCCTCGAAGAGCAGCATGGCGCCGGCGTGGTCCCAGACCTTGCCCGCGCGCTCGCGCCGCCGGTACACCCACACCGTCACGTCGGCGATCCCCAGCCCCAGGCTCACCCACCGCAGCACCCACGCTAGAAAGTCACACCCCGCCCCCGCCCCCGCCATCCCCAGACGCGCGTGCACCGCCGCGTGCGCCGCGTCGACCCCCGACCCCGTGAGCGAGCTGTCGTAGCACGACACCGCCCGCAGGCCCCCCATCCCCGTCCCCATCCCCGTCCCCGTCCCCGCGTGCGCCGGGATCTTGCGCACGACCACGCTGTCCTCGTCGACGAGCAGCAGCGGCCGCACGTACGCGCCGTGGCCCCGCGCCGCGAAGGCGACGAGCCCCCGCCCGGTCGGGTCGCGCGTGTCGTTGTCGGCGGGCGCGGCCACGTCGACGGGCAGCGTGGGGCAGCCGACGACGCCGACGGCCTGGCGCCCCGCCTCGAGCAGCGCCACGTTGATGGCGTACGCGCGCCGCTGCACAAACGTCTTGGTCCCGTCGATGGGGTCGAAGACCCAGACGCGGCCGCTGCTGCCAGTGGGCGTGCCGGTCCCGCACCAGTCGATCATCTCGCACATCTGCTCCGGCGAGGCGGGTACCTGGCATGATGAGGAGGAGGCGTGCTGCTGGAGCAGCCCCCATACCCGCTCGAGCAGCGCGGGGTTCGCCCGCAGCGAGCCCGCGGACTCCTCCCCGACGAATTGGTCCCCCGGGAAGGCGGCGTGCATGGTGCTCGTGAGCAGCGCTTGGATGGCGAAGTCGGCTACGGTCACTGGGCTCAGGTCGTCTTTCTCCACTACGCCCTTGTCGTCGGCTGCGAGCACCGACTGGCTGATCCGGGCGGCGGCCTGGATGGCCCCGATGGCTACGCGGATCTCCCGCGCGTAGGGGCTGTCCATTTCTTTTTTGTTTCCCCTGGCTAGGTAGGGAGGTAGGTATGAAAGCTGTACTCGAGGGGGGGCTTGGCTGGATGCCGGGGATGGGGATGGGATAGGTAGATGGGTAGTATGCAAGTGGTTACAACTAAGTAAAAATAGGAGGAGGTTAAGGATTAAACCGCCTTACCGGGTCCGTTTGGGATGGGATTGGTCGTGGGATTAGGAGAGCACTACCAGACATACCTAGGTTAACGAACCTGGATTAGATCTAACGGTTTATCAGCCTTTAGTGTGTCATGCAGAAACGGTCATTTAAGTCAGGGATGCCCGGCCTACATATGATATGCATTTGATTGACCAATGTATGGATATAAAACGACTTGGCTGCAGTTCACAATGTTGTATATTGATATTTGACATAAATTCTCCTTCCCTTCTCCTTCCTCTCTCTCTCGTGGTGCAAGGTTAGCCAGATTAACAGTCTTAGAACGGGGTTTTTAACAGCAATTATAAAATGCAAAATAGAGTCACATTGCAGCAACACATATTATATTTGCTATCTACCTCAATACTATCTTCAATGTTAAAAATGAACGACAAATATTACAAATAAAAGTTGCTTACCTACACACATTAAAAAAACAAATCAGAACGACTCCACATAACCCGAAGCCTAACCCTGGAATTTCAATATACGAGAAACTAAAAAGTGTTCATATTGTATAAAAATACCCTTATTGCCCAACAATACATCAACTCAACACAACAATAAAAAATAATTTTTTGAACCGAAACACTCGAGATGCCCAACACTGGAGTCGAACCAGTCGCCTCCTCATGATCTAGTAGTAATACTAGTGAGGCGCTCTACCGCTGAGCCAGTCGGGCCGTGGGTGAGAGAGAGCCGGTGCTATGACGCCACTTGAAGCACCATTCTCTGGTGGCATTACAGTTCTCTATTGTTCAACTTGACCTTGACAAAGTTTGCTGTTGAAGCTAGTAAAACATTGATGATTAGAATGGTTATCAGTAATCACGAATAAGGAGGACGGGGCATAAGCTTCATTAGAGGAAAGGAGTCCTATGACTATAGAGACTAGTATCTCATAGCAAAAAGAGTTGTAGCGTAAGAGGGAAAAGGCTCCTTTTTTTTACTATAGTAATACATATCTGAATCTGACTAAATTTTAGGAGAATTTAATCGAGCTACTATACTCGTAGAACCGCAAAGCCCGGGAGATCCAAACCTCTTCCGAACATTCCATAACCCCTCAAACCACATAAACACTATCGAATTACGATCTTTGCTTGTGGTCAACATACTTCGCCTAGAATGGAATGGGAGCATCCAGCCCCCGAATTATGCCATGATTGGGTTTTCTCCAACAACTCAAATATACAGTGCGTTCCCGTATAAAGTTACCCTCGATACTTAGTCTCAGGTTAGAATATTGGCATACTGACAACCGCCCTACTAAAAAAGTAAGCCAGCAAGGGAGGTATATCTCAGCGGGTGCAAAGATAAGGAACGGATTCGTGACTATCGGCCTTTCCGGTCCGTAGCTGTAGACATCGGCGACAGGCAGATGGAGGTCCTCGGAGTTGGCACCGTCTATCTACCCGTTAGGCAATCCCCTAACATCGGCGGTATATATGCACATAGCACCCTTCGGATAACCAACGTCATTCACACACCACTTATGCCATGTAACATCGTGGGCGGGAAACCTCCCGTCAGGTGATTCCGGCGAATGGGCCGGATGCCCCATATACTTCTTGTAAACTCAAATGGCTAGGGAGGGACTACGGTGGCGAGTTCAACTTTCTCAGAGACTACGGGTTGGGCATGTACAATGAAGTTAATCGGAAGGAAGGAAGGACGTGGAATTGTACGTGCTCTCATGACTCCCGACGTCTAACGACCATATGGGAGGTTTATCGTATTGTGCTATAGTTGATACGAGGTCTATAAATCAGCATTAGTCTTTTTATACTTCTAGCTTGTGAGCGTGGGGGATAATGGGGAATAATGTCAGTCAGATGTGGAAGAAGCCCCCTTTCTCAGGTAGAGCACTTATAACAAAGATAAGCTGGGGCAACGTATATACGTGTGAAGAAGCAACAAGCCTCTTGTGCTTACTGCAGTCTCGGGATCAAGCTATAGCCATACCTAGCTGCTGCACGTGGTGAAATTCGCCAAGTCGGCAGATTCGGAGCCGCTTTGACAACGATGGCCGAAACTCCACCAATAGAGCGGTGACCGTTCGTGCCAGCATTTCACCGAGAGCCTCGGGTCTACTTCAAAATACTTGATTTTGCGGCCGAGGAGAGGGTCCTAGGACCGGCATTGCTAAGACAGAACGTAAGATAGGGGTTCGGGATCGACTGTACATGGGGGATCAATGCACACCCGTCAGTTTTTCCACCCGTTAATCGGGAGGGGAAGCAATATTCATGGGTACGAGTACTACCTTGGAGCGCAGCCGGGACACGCCCGACTGCATCTGCTCGCTAATATTGTGGAAAACTATGGGAGCTCAGCTCGGGAATAGAGCCTCTTCGATGTGCGCGGGGAGAGCTTGGCAAAATGTCACTACAATATGGTGTAATAAAAGGGATAGACTCGGCCGGTGCGTAACCAGATTGCCAAGCATCACTTCATGTGACCTGTGCCATCACCAGCAAGGCGACGACGAGAATGAGATCCTTCTTGACACTCATTGCCAACGTGGCTTCAGCCACGGCGGCCACGCCTTACCTGCCGTGGATGGCGGACTCGTATATCCAGCGCGGAGTCGAGGCGAACTTCAACTACGCCACGGGGGTGCTGTATGACGGCATCGTGGCGGCCTACGAGCTCACGCAGAACGAGTCGTACGTCGAGTGGTACCGGGGCCAGATCGACGCCGTCGTGCAGGACAACGGCACGATCGCGGGGTGGCAGTACGACTACCACGCGCTCGACGACTACCGGATGGGCAACAACTACCTCTGGTGGTACGAGCGCACGGGGGAGGACAAGTACAAGGGCGCGGCCGACGTCGTGCGCGCGCAGCTGGACCAGCACCCGCGCACGCCCTCGGGCGGCCTCTGGCACCGCGACCCCACGCCCGACCAGATGTGGCTCGACGGCATCTTCATGGGCGACGCGTTCTACGCGCGGTGGACCCGGCGGTTCGACGGCGACAACGCGACGGCCTGGGACGACATCGCGCTGCAGTTCGACCTCATCGACGCGCGCACCCGCAACGCCACCACCGGCCTGCTGGTGCACGGCTTCGACGAGAGCAAGGCCGCCGTCTGGGCCGACCCCGCCACCGGCGCCTCGCCCCTCGTCTGGGACCGCGCCGACGGCTGGTACTTCATGGCCCTGCTCGAGGTCGTCCCGCTGCTGCCCGAGTCCCACCCGGGCCGCGCCCGGCTCGCGGGATACTTCACCTCGCTCGCGGCCGCGCTGCTGGAGACGCAGGACGAGTCGGGCGGGTGGTGGTTGATCATGAACGAGCCCTATCCCGGCGAGGAAGGCAACTACATCGAGAGCAGCGCCTCGGCCATGTTCGTCTACGGCTTCCTGAAGGGCATCAAGATGGGCCTCCTCGCCGAGGAGGGATATCTCGACGCGGCGAAGAAGGGATATAACCTGCTGACGGAGAGGTTCGTCAAGGTCAACGATGATGGGACGCTGAACTGGGAGGGCACGGTGCTAGTCGGCTCCTTGGCTAGCAATGCCACCTTCGAGGTAAGTGGCAACTAACACCCACCCACTCACCCCCTTTATTCATCGGAGATGCGGGTATTAATAACATGTCGCAGTACTATACCTCGGTCCCACTGGCGCCGAATGATTTCAAGGGAGCAGGACCCTTTATGCTCGCAGCGTACGAGATAGAGACGTTGTGAATTTGGAAATGGCTGTCACATATACTTTGTAGATGGTGTAATGCTCTGCAACTGTTCCGACCTGTCTGACCTTCTCGGGTCTAGGAATCCTCTGTAAGCTCTGGAGGCAAGCAAAGCTTAGGATTCGCCATGACAGTCCAACGAAGACGTAGTTGATCAATTGATCAGACCCTGTTGGTGCCATTCTTGAAAATGCGTACATACACTGAATTAGCGGACGAGACCTCTACTTCACCTGCAGTGTGACTTTAGGTATATCAAATTACATGTGAGTCCTTCTCTACCTATTCAGTGGTTCCAAGAAAAGGATGGTATCATACTATGAATACTAGGTACCCATACAGCTAATACATTACCGCCGAGATTAAGGTGAATGATGCGTCTTTAAATATAATTTTGGTAATATTTGCTACTGTATAAAACTTATGCCGATGTCGTCGCACTATTTGCCGCCGCCGTGATTGTGGTAGACGTCGACGTAGCAGCAGCTGTCGAGGATGTCGACGAACCCCCCGATCCATCCCCTTTCACAACAACCGCCTGCACCACCTGCCCGGCAGCGTTAAACACGATATTAACAAGCGCACTCAGTGGCGCATATGAAAACGTCTTTTGGATGAGACCGCCGTCGAGGATCTCCTGCGCGCCGGTATATGTCATGTTCTGCTCGTAATTGCCCACGATGGTGCTGAGCAGCGAGCCGGCCGTGCCCTCGACCTCCTGCACGATGTTCCCCAGGTTGTCGACGAGGAAGTTGATCTTGGAGTCGCCGTTGACGATCGAGCCCAGCAGGCCGTCGACGGCCCCGACGACCGTGTTCACCAGGTCCGTCGCCTCGTTCAGCACGTTGATCAGCAGCGGGTTCAGGTCCAGCGACTCCAGCGTCCGGTTCACGATGTCGACCAGATTGCCTAGCCGTATGACGAGGTCGAGCTGCGCGTCCACGTCGGCAATCGTAATGTTGACCTTCTCGACGCCGACTTGGATGCCGGCGTTGAGCTCGACCAGGTTGGCAACTTGTGCGGCCAAGTTGATTTCCGCTTGGAGAGAGTTCACGTCCAGCTCGATTCGCCCAACGTGGAGCTCGGGCACCCTGAGCAGAACATCGGGCGGGTTGGTGCCGTATGAAGGAGAACTGGTTGTCGTGCTGCTGCTGCTGCTGCCTCCTCCAGGTGCTGTAGTTCCCGAGGGAGAGGTGGTATCGCTCACAGATGAGCTTGTGTTGCTATCGGAATTCGTTCCTGTGGTGGTCGCCGTAGGCTGTGATATTAATATGGCGGTCGTGTCCGTTACTGGGCCTGTTGTAGAGGCAACTTCTGTTGTCGACGATGCCGTCTGCGCTGAAACCGGGGCCGGCAGCAGAATACTGCAAAGTAACGAGTGTAAGAATTGCCTGCGCATTTTGAACAGAGAAGCAAGTGGACTGACGGTAACGAACAATAGGCGTCAGGAACACCAATGCCTGGTGGCGCTGGGTATCATATAAAGTCGGACCAACACCTGAGAGAGCTGACAGGCGTCACACCCGGCATTTACACCCATGGGCATGGCGGAATGGTTTCCTCCACCATTTATAGCGCATAATGCGTCTTGTATAATGACGACACAGGCTATAGTTGCAATGTTATCGTAGCCCCAGTGAGATCGTGATGATATGCTTAAATCGATCGCTAAGATGCGTCTGGGGAGACAGGAATCGTGCAGTTCCAAGTTCCAAAGAGATTACAAGGACGATGAAACTCATTAGACCCAATTAGAGGCGATATAGGCCCCCTGGAAATACACGGAATCTGTCCCAATCTGGTTTATGCTGTGTCCAGCGCATAAAGTCCACTTCCTAAGTCTATATCTCCCTTCAGAGATGTCGCTTTGTTACCATACATGACGGATGAGCTCATGCTTCCGTTCAACATGGCCGGGTCTGCCCTTTTAGGTGCCGGATCCCCCTTCATGAATGGATGATTTCTGTCTACTATCTGCTCACGTTA